TCTGGCTGATGTCTCGATGGGGAGACTGGTCCTGAGTTTCTGGCACTGTGTATGACATAATTATACTCCATATGCAGTATATGCCACCAATTTTTATTTCAAATGATGATTTTTAATTACACGTGTTCATTATATCAATAGGGTGATTTTATTTTGCTCAAATAACTGAAATAGAAAATAATATTTTGGATTGTGTACTTTTACTAAAACTTGGCCTAGTATAGATTATAGTAGCCTGTGATATATTAAGATACCCACATGGTTTTCAGACAATGTACAAACAGGCCACTCAGCACATTGTTTTATAATTTTTTGCCAAAAAAACCCCCAAAAAACCCTTGATACGGGTTCCAATTTTCCATTTCCAATTGTTTTCCAATTGAATTTTTAATTTCAGTTTTCATCTTTTTTATCGCATTTCTAGAAAATCTATTGGTTCTTTTTCAAGTCTGCTTATCACTGTTTTCATTTCGTGTTCCCTGTAAATGTTCCTTTTTTTTAAACTTTGCATATTTGAATCATTTCTTATTTATTTATTTATTTATATACTTGCCTTGTGGACTTTATTTTTTTTAATTAATTTTTATTGGAGTAGAGTTGATTTACAATGTTGTGTTAGTTTCTTCTGTACAGCAAAGTGGATCAGTTATACATATACATATGTCCACTCTATTTTAGATTCTGTTCCCATATAGGCCATTACAGAGTATTGAGCAGAGTTCCCTGTGCTATACAGCAGGTCCTTATTAGTTATCTATTTTATATATAGTAGTGTGTATATGTCGATCCCAATCACCCAGTTTATCCCCCTCCCTTTCCCCCTTGGTAACCCTAAGTTTGTTTTCTATGTCTGTGACTCTATTTCTGTTTTGTCAGTAAGTTCATTTGTACCATTTTCTTTTTAGTGAGTTACTTAATTTTTTAAAGTGTTTTTTTGTTTGTTTGTTTTTCATCTTTTTGGCCACGCCACACGGCTTGCGGGATCTTAGTGAAACCGGGCATTGAACCCGGGCCCTCGGCAGTGAAAGCACTGAGTCCTGACCACTGGACTGCCAGGGAATTCCCCATGTTCCCTGTAGATGTTCTTGACTTGGTAATTAACTGCTTTAAACATGAAAACGTATAGTTGTTTTAAAGTCAGTAACTGACCCCTCCGATATACGCACTGTGTGTATCTGTTTTGCTAGTTCCTGCCCGTATTGTCTTGCTTCTTTGTGTGTCTGGTTATCTTTGACTGTGTCCTGCTCAATGCCTGTGACACGTTATTTATGGAAGCTCCTTGAGGCCTAAGATGGATATGCCCTCATCCAGAGAGGTTTTCAGTTAGTCCTGCCGGGCACGAGAGGAGACTACAAAAGTCCTGATATTCATCTCATCCCAGGCTAAATACACAGCAACTCTTCACCGGTTACTAAAGTCAGAGACACAAGACTCCTCTCTTTTCCTCATGCCCCTCTAAACACATTAGCAAATCATGTTAGTTCTGTCTCCAAAGTATCCCCAATCCAGTCACTTACCCCCATCTGTGCCTGGTGAAAGCTCTCATCCCCTCTTGCCTGGACCACGGCAGGAGCCCAGCTGGTCTCTCGGCTTCCACTCCTGCCTCTACTAATCCTTTCTCCACACACTGTCAGAGGGATGGCTTAAACATGTGAATTAAATCATGTCATTCCCCTGCTTAAATCTCCTCAATCAATTCCTATTGCATGTGAAATAAAATCTAAGTTTCTTATTGTGGTGTAAGGCCCTGAGTAATCTTTTCCCTCCTCTCCAACCACTCTTCCTCTCGCTGGCCTTGATCCAGCCACACCGATTTCCTTGCTCGTCCTTAAACAGGTCAAAGCCTTTCCCATTTAAATACCTCTACTCTTGCTTTCCTTTGGCCTGGAACATTCTTACTCCTGTTCCTCGTCTTTGATATCTTAGCTCAATGTTACCTTCTAGGAAAGGGCTTCCTGTCACCCCACTCTACGTTAGGACCCTCTGAACCAGAGCTGTGGTTCTCTACCGTAGCAGCCTGGCTCTGTCCCTTACTGCACATTCTGTATTGCTCCTTTGAGACTTTACTTACTTTTGGTTACATCTCCCCACAACTAGAATGTAAGCTCTGTGAGCCCAGAGATCTTGTCTGTCTTGTTCACTGCTGCGTCCCCAGCACCCAGAAACGTTCCTGGCACATGTAGTTACTGTGAATATTTCCCACATAAAAAAAATGAGGCTGCAGAGCCAGCCCTTGGGGTCAGTCTTTATGACCCCAAAACTTGTGCTCTTTCTCCTACATTCTGCTCCCAGGGCAGAGTCTGGAATCCGTGGGAAGGGAACTGGCTGAGGGTCAGATGTGGCTTCTGCAGCGACTCTGGTAGTGCCATCGGACAAGTCCTTTCCTCCCCGCTGGCCTCCGTTTATCCACCAGTGCTAAGGTATGACGCTCTGAGCCACAGGGACCTTGCCAGTGAGAGGAACAGAAGCAGATCCCTCTCTGTCCAGCAGGTAGAGCCATTGGCTCTTTTGAACTTGGCTGCCGGGATCTCTCATTCAGAATGTTGAGATGTCTTCTCATCAAAACGCACACTCTACTATCACCTACCGCCACCACCAAACACCAGTGAGGTGTTCATTTTTTTGCTCACATTTTAAAATTTTTTAAATGTTCATTTATTTAGTTTTACTTGTTAAAGAAACTTTTTATTTCGGAATATATTTAGATTTACAGAAATGTTATGAAAATACTAGTTTCCATATACTCCACACCTATTATTTCCCCTGTTATTAACATCATACACTTATATGGCACATTGGTCACATTTATGAAGAAATATCGATACATTATTATTAACTAAAGTTCACACTTTATTCAGGTTTCCTTAATTTTTTATTTTATTTTTTTGGCCACGCCAGGGGTCTTAGTTTCCAGACCAGGGATCGAACCCATGCCCCCTGCAGTGGAAGAACAGAGTCCTAACCACTGGAGGGCCAGGGAATTCCTGGGTTCCTTTTGTTTTTAACCTATGTCTATTTTCTGTTTCAGGATCCTATCTAGAACACGTTACATTTCGTCATCATGTTTCCATAGGCTCCTCTTGGCTGTCCCAGCTTCTCAGACTTTCCTTACTTTTGATGACCACCAGGGAGGTTTTAGGTTTTTTTTTTCAGTTGATGAACAGTTTTACTAGAAAATGAACAATTTTTCCCAGTGTTTGAGACATAATGGACATATAACACTGTATAAGTTTAAGGTATACGACATAATGATTCGATATGTGTATATATTTCAAAGTGATTGCCACAGTAAGTTTAGTTAACATACCAGGGGTGGTTTGTAGATGGGACTCCAACATGTGTCTTGAGCTTATGGTCACTTAAGGTTCAAAGCTGAAAGATACAATGCTTGGCCCTCTGGGGAACTTAGGCACAAAATTCTTGTGGTAGAAATTGGTAACTTCCTACTCAGGTTCTTATCAGGCTGACCTTCAGAAGTGGTCCTCTCGATAAAATGTTTCTAGTGTGCCTGCCGTGTGTTTGGCCCTGTGATCGGCACCAGTGGGGGGTGGAGCAGAGACAGGGTCCTTTTGGGGCTTCCAGTCCAGTTCTTTTGTTCAAGTTGGAGAATAGATGCACAGGAAGGCAGAAGGTAACACTGCACCTTCCTGTTTCACCCAAGGATGTATCCAAGGTGGAAAAAAGGTGACAGGTCCCTGGAATGCCTTCTCATAGGACCTCTGAAGGGCATGGCCTCAGAACTGGAGGATTTGGAATGAGAGGAGGTTTAGGGAATTCTCAGTGTTGTGCTCTCAGCTCCTGGAATCCAGCCCCCGTATTTCAGTGGGCTGGGGTGGGGGAGACTGGGGCCTGGAGTTTCCTTCCCCACCTTGAGAAAGAAACTTGTAAGCCTTCGTGGTCACCATTGCTTTCTAATTCAGTTTAATAACTTAAGTCCTTTCTGTGCTCCTCAGCTTATAAGAGGCCCCATCACGTCCTAGCAGCATCTTTGGGAGGTCAGGGCCGTTTCTTTCAGCCCCATTTTACCTGTGAAGAAACTGAGGCTCACATCCTACTCGGCAGATAGTGGAGGTGGAATTTGAATCCAGCTCTTTCTGGCTCCTAATTTTCATTTCTGCCCCCACCATATCCTGTGGTGTATGGCCCTCAAGCTTAGAGGAAGACAGTGTTTTGGGAAACTTTTCCTCTTGATCCACTAAGTTATATTCTGCTCAGAAGTTTGGGGTCTGCTCTAGTTTGTGGACTGGGAGGGGAGGAGGCCCCTGCTCCAGCCCAAGCCTGCCCTTCCTGGGGAATCTGGCAGAGGAGACAGGCCAGGGCTTGGAGGCAGAGGACGTGGGTGAATTGCCCACCTGTGGCTCTCACTAACTGTGGGAGTAAAAAAATCACTTTTTCCTTGTGATCCTCAGTTTCTCCATCAATGAAATGGTGCTTATACACCTGTCCAGAGGCTTTATTGCAGCGACTAAGTGATATAAAATTGTTTGTCAGCTGAAAGCCCCATTCAGGGATAAAAGAGGTGGTTATCATTTCCAGTGAGAGATCCAGGACCCTAAATCCAGGGAAGCTGCTTGCCTGTAGGGCCAGGCTGAAGAAAGAAACTCATGTTCTGAAACTCCAAACTCATGTCCAGGAAAATGCCAAGCTGAATCCCCTACCCATCCCCAGACACTTCTGCTCCCTCCCACACTGGAAGCACTGCAAGCCCGGAGCAGAGAGGAGACTCCAGTACCCTTTAGCATTGGATGTCAAAGCATCTTGAAGCCAAGACGTAGCATCTGTTTCAGCTCCAAACTCTCAGCTTCTAGAACAGGGTGGGCCACACACAGAACACTCAGGTGTTGAGTGAATGAATGAATGAGTGCGTGAGTGAATGAAGAAATGCCAGGGCTGTCAGCAGGTCCAGAGTTTACCTCCTAACCTCCAGGCTCCCGTTGGGACCTCTCAACCTTCTCAGGTCACCACCCTTCCCTTTTCACAGAAGTGCATGACACCAGGTGTACCAAAAAGGCAAACTGGACTTTATTATAAAGTTGGCTACAAAGTCACCGCAGCACCACGAGGTGACCACCTGGGTAGTCCCAGGCAGTTGGGCAGCCGGGTGAGTCCCGCACCAGGTACACGCACTCGTGCAAGCACACGTGTGACGGCGGCAGGTCTGCCTTCCTCCATCGGAAAGGAACGTAGCGTCTCTTCGCGCCCCCCACCCCAGGCGCGGGGCGCAAAAGTCACAAGAAGGGCCGCCAGGGCGGCAGAGTCCATCGGAATTGAAATCCCGTTACTGGTGTGTAGAGAATTCTACGTGGGTGTCAAGAGCCCCTCAGGGCACAGGCTGGCCCAGGTGGGCACTGCCTTTCCCCCACCAAGGCCCAGGGGTGGCTTGGCCCCCAGGAGTGGAGAACTGGCCCAGGCCCATGGGGCAGCGCGGGGCGGGGGAAGTGAGACTCCCCCATTCTCCGCTTGAAATCCCATTCAAGGAAACTCACTACGAGTGAATACAGATTGAAATGGAAACTGGGATTGCTTGATGTCTCTAAATTTTAAAAAGAAGCTCCCCTCCCTTGCCCTCCCACCTCCCCCCCCCCAAATCCTGCAGGGCCTGGGGAATCGGATCTATCCCCCTCTGGCCCCCAGAATCCCCCCAACAATCCCGGGGGGGTGGAGAGCGGCTCCATGTCTTGATGACAATATGCCATACTTGACGACGTTAAGTCACAGACTTATTCAAAACGTTGGTTCCCCTCCACTTCCATCTGCAGAGAGAGAGAGAGAGAGAGAGACAACAGTCAGTTAGGCCTATTAGGAAAGACAGGCTGAGGATGTGGTGCACTGTTGGCACATAGTATGGGCTTCCAGTACGCTGGTCCAATGACTGAATGATCACCAGAGGCTCAGAAGATACGGGAGTAGTTTGGATGAATGGAGTGAAATTATGTCTGTGGTTTTGGAAAGGATGGAGCCATAGCAGGGACACTCTGTCGGGGCCAGGGGCTGAGTCCCACTCTCTTTCCCAAATTCCTATAAGCTCTCACTCTGTATTCCCTTTGGGGGACAAAGAATACTGAGATAGAGCTCTAAACCCGCTTCCATCAGTTTGTTGTGCAACCTCAGGGGAGTTTCTTTAACTTCGGGATCTTGACTGTCTTCATCTGTAAAATGGGGTGGGATGGCTGATCTAGGTCCCTCGTAGAGTTAAGAAGCACAAACCGTTACCCAAGATTCTCTTGCATCTTATCCCACACCCCTAATCTCTGCCCCCCAGGCCTACTTGTCCAGAACATCCATATTGTTTTCATTAGTTCTTATCCTAACCGCAATCCTACACAGCAGGTGATCTTATCCTATTAGTGAAACTGAGGAACAGAGAGGGCAGTTTACTCATCTAACTCCACCCAGCATCTCATTGGCAAGAGAGGAACTTGAGTTCTTGAACATTTTGGCTCAACTTACCTTCATGGAAGCTGTCTTGAACTTGGCTCTGGAGTTGATGCAACTCATCAGTAAACCCATCGTAGGGGAATGCTGAGACACCTGTCTCAAAGGCGGTTTCATATGTGGCCAGGTCCTCCAGGAAGCTGCTATCTTCTGGGGACAGGTTGTTGCGAGGTGATGGGGCCCCTCCTGGGACTGCTGCCTCAGGATCCTCTGAACTCCATTCCCCATTGGGGTCTGGGGTAGAGAGATCCATGAAGATGTCTTCCACGGGCGTCTCTTCCAGGAATATATCAGGGTCAGTCAGGAAATCCAGGTCCTGGCATTTCCAGGGTTTTAGGTCCAGGCTGAGCACAGGGGGGCCAGCTCCTGCCAGGGAAAGGTTAGGGTCCAGGGGCTCCAGCCCGCCAAGTGGCTCTAGCCCACCAGTGCCAGCCTCTGCTGAGAAGGGCCTGTCCATGCCCTGAGCCAACTGGCTGATCTGCTGGATAAGACGGTCTATCTCATTCTGCTCCTTCTCTGAATAGTGGAAGAAGCTCTGCTTGACTGGAGAGGCCTCAGGTGTAAGCAGGCCTTCGGGCACCAGGGGGACATCCACAGAGAGGGGGCCCCGGAGCTGGGCTAGGGCCAGGAGTGTGCAGTCCCCATTACCAGGGCTGCTAGGACTTGGGGGCAACTTCTCATAGAGAAAACTGCATCCCTCCTGGGCGAAGTAAGTCTTGGTGGGATTAGGGCTCAGTTGCTCTGGGAAAGTTTGGCTGGGGCTGTTCAGGTGTGCTTGGAATGCTGTGCTTGGAGAAGTCACCTGCTCATGGGTAGGGCTGTTCAGACGCTCTGGGAAGTTGGCAGTGGTGGGAAGCAGCTGATCTGGGAAAGTGGAGGTGCAAGGATCTTCATAGCTTCTGGCTGAGGTTTCAGTCAGTTGGCCTTGTAGTGGGCTAGTCAGTGGATCTGGGAAAGTTGCACTGCTGGGCGTCAATTGATCAGAGAAGGTCACAGTGCTCGGAGTCAGCTGTTCTTGGAGAGAGCTGGATGGAGTGGGCAAGTGGGTCTGGAAGGGCTCATGGAGGCTGAAGAGGAAAGCACAGCCTCCCGGCTGGTGGGGCGTGTAGGGTGGGGTGCACACAAGATCCTTGCTCAGGTCTGCTTGAAGAGAAGGCTCAGGGCCAGATGGAAATGTCAGGTAACTGAAGCCAAGCTCTTTGGGGGGTCGGGGAAGCTCTTCTGGTGTTGAGACAGCACCCAGCTCAGGAGCACTGGGGAAATTGGTGCTTCGGGGAGGCCCCATGGTGAAGAGTGGATTAGGGCCAGAGCATTGCTCCTGCGAGAGGATGCTCTCCGGGAATGAGGGCAGCATGGTCGGGGTGCCCAGGACATAGGCTGCCTGGGTTTCTTCAGAGTTTAACTGCTGGCGGAGGCTCCAGGCTTCCGTGTCACTGGAGAGGAGAGAAGAGGCAGCCGGTAAGGGTGTGGTGTCCATTCCCAGAGAAGTTCTCTGATTTGTATCTCCTCCATGTCCACCTCAGCTGCCTCCCAGGCCCCTGGCTTGCAGCTCACCTGATTGGGTAGTTATTGGCAGTAATGGGACCCTCCGGACCTTCTGAATATAAAAGGCAATAAATCCATGCCCAGCCTCCAGGCTTGGCCAGCAGTCTCACCACCATCTCTGCTTGAATATCTCCACTCTCAGCCACTGAGGAGAAAGAAGAGATGCAGAGTTAGGACACCCATCAGACAGCACCACCTATTCTCCCCACTCTCTGACCTCTCCACTGAATTGGGGTATTCATGACATCCTCTTTTCTGACTACCTTAACCTGCACCATTCAACTCCCCACTTTGACCTCACCACTCAGAGTCCCCCAGTTCTGATTCTATTCTTACCTTGACTCCTTACCCTAGTGTTCACCCTATAGCATCCAAAGCTGTTAGCCTCTGATATCTCCCCGACATCAGTCTTGATCACAGCCCTTCTTGGTCAGGTTTCCCATGCCCTTTCCCAACTCCCTGTCTTGTCCTCAGCCTCTCTGGACACTCACACAGGCGGTAGTGTTGAGCAGAAGCGTGGCCCAAGTCCTCAGGGTGCAGCAGTCCATACCATGATTTACAGAGCAGTTCACTGCGCTCAAAGCCCAGGTAGATTAGGACACTGGGAAGGTGGAAAGGATGAGGTCAGCTTTCTGTTTTCCCTGCTTGATACCCAGGCATCTCACTCCCTCCCAGGTCTTCTGCACCCTTAGATCCCAACCTCCCTGTCCCTGACTCCAGAATCTAGGGTCCCCTCACCTCTGACCTGCCTTTTCCCTGGAGTCTGAACACTCTGGGCTTACCTCTCTGAGATGTCCAACAGGGCCAGGTCCTTAGCGTGATGGCTCTGGAACATGGCCAAGAAAAGTGAGGCAGGGCCAGGACCAGGGCCAGGGCCAGGGCCAGGGCGGGGTCTTGTCTCCAGTGGAGCACAGAAAGCTGTGAACACAGGATTTCCTGCCCAGTAGGCCCCAGGTGGGTGAGCGTGGAATCGGCCTCGAATAAGCACCAGTTTGTTGCCTGCACTCTGGCGCCTGAGGGACTTGGAAGTGTTGAAGCGACAGCGGAAGAGGCGATCTAGGTGAGTGAAGAGAAAAACTGGTAAGAGAGTGAATGGCTGAGAGAGATGGCAAATGGGAAGGAGCAGGGCAGCAGGAGGCATATTGGATTGAGGAAAGGAGAAAGGAGTTCTCACCATTATCCAGAGCAGAGGGCAGGGTGAGTTGCTGGCGCACAGTTAGGTGGTCAGCTGGATCAATGATGTCGTAGATACTGTCACCCTGGGCAACCAGGTCCACCTGGAGAAAGGTAAAGGAGAGATGACCATTAATGAAGGCAGCAAGAGCCAATCCTTGGCACATAGCATCTTGTAGGCTATAACTTCCTCCCCTGTAATTCCCAGATTCTCAAAAGTGGAAAACTCATTGTGTTCCCATCCGTGCTGCAGTCCAAGCTGAAAGGGTCCTCAGCACTCACCATGGAGTGGCCCAGATGCTCGCTCACACTCTCAGAGAGATATAGCAGCTTCCCCTCCGCCGTGAACACAAGCAGGAATCCAGGTAGTGCTGCCACTATGTCTTCAAGCTCTTGAGCTGAGAGAAGCCCTGTGGGGCCCGCCAGAGGAGTGCCTGCAGAGTGAGAAGACAGGGTGAGTCAGGAGGAAGACTGGGAAGCAAAGCAGAAGTGAGAAAGACATGGACCGGGTTTCAGAAATTCTGAGGAATTTCTCATGGACCTGCTTCTGCACACACCTGTTGACCTGCTGCCCACAGCTCTTGCCCGGGGAACCTGTTGCTGGATCTCTCCAGCCAGCGAGCCCTTCGACTTCTAAGTCGGGGCTGGGGCTTTGGCGGGTCTGTGTTTCAGGACCACGGACAGCGCTCCAAAGCCGACCGAGCGTTCAGCACCGCGGGCAGTGCCTTGCAACCCGGTGGTGCTGTCAGCACCGCGGGCAGCGCTCCGCCGGCTGCAGAAGAGCCCTTCCAGTATCGTGAACAGCATCTGTGCTTCCCCAGGCTTTGGCGGCTCCGTCCCTGTAACTTCCCGGGTTTCCCTTCGCTGGCTCCCCGGAGCGCCTCTACGCTGGTGGGGACTGGGGCCATTCCGTCCTGGCTCTCCCCCTCCCATAAGTCTGGCACCAGGGACACTATCCAGGCTCTCTAATCCTCATTCAGAACTAAGGTGAGGTTTGGAAAGAACTCAGGAGGAAAAGTGGGAATTCCTGAGTTCTCCTAGTTCCTTCTCACCCCAGCTCGCCGACACGCTGCCCTAGACCTGCGGCAGTCCCAGTGGGTTCCCTCTGCTTCACTCTCCCCGGCGCGCGCCAGCTCGTGTCTCCGCCCCAGTTTGCTCACCTCCAGCGAAGAAGACGCCCTTGCGAGTGTAGATGCAGGCAAGACTCATAATGTGCAGGTAGGACAGCCGGACCTTGTCCGCTTCGGCCAGCGGCAGCAGCTCCTTGAGATTCCGGATCTCAGCGTTGATCTGGTCGCGGCGCGCCTTGGAGGCGCCCTTGGTGGAGCGATACATGACTAGCGGCTGCGGAGCTCCAGCTCGGGCGCTCCGAACACCTGCGTTCCTGTCCCGACGCACCGGTGGCTTCCTCCTTGCTTCCCCGTCTCTCGCTCAGGCTCTTTCTCTCTCTGTCTCCTCTCCTGGGCTCCGCTCGGCTGCGCTGCCCCCCTTGCCTGCCTTGTTCCGCCTTATATAGCTCCTGTCAGGCGTGGGGGGCTCGCTTTAGAGAAAGGGGGGGCGGGAGGCTGGGCTAAGCAAGCTGCAGCGGGAGCTGCTGGCTGGGGTTGGGGGGGCGCGCTCCTCCTCCCTCCCAGGCTTCCGACGTCATCCCATGACGTAGAACGAGAGCGGGAGGGGTGCCGGGAGGAGGGGGAGAACGCAGGCTGCGGAGGGGGCCGCGGCTGGCGGCAGCTGCGCCGAGAGGCAGGCGCTGCTTTAGGAAGGCCTGAAAGGGGGTGCAGGGACCCAGGTATCCTAATGTATTCAGCTGAGGGAAGGGACAGGGCAAGGGTTGGGGCGGTCTGAAGCCCCTGGCAGGAGAGTCTGTAGAGGGGCTCGCTCTGACAATGATTTTTCTGAAGAGATAAGGGAAAGGGGAGGAGCAGGGTCGTACACAAATCCCCCCTCCCTATTTGCCAAAGGTCAAGTTCGTCTGGGGCGGGGCGATGGGGGTGGGGAGAAGGACCTTCCTTGGCCTCTGTGGGATAGGTCACAGCTGGGGTTTCTCTCTAGGGATTACTCAATCCGGGATTCCCTTAGTCACTTTCAAAGAACATATCTCCTCCTCCCCCTTTCCAAAGCCGGGCCTTGCTGATTTAGCAGGGGGAGGCCGGCGGGGCTCTATGTCCCTAGGATGGGTGGGAAAAGGGTCCTGAGGGAGAGGAACCAGCTGAATCTGGCCTTGGTTCTACTTTCCCACAGCCAAGAATAGGAACACTTGCACCAACGCCGCAGTCGGCAGTGACTCTTCGTTTCTCTGTCAACTAATTAACCTCAGCCACTGACGGGGGAAACTGAGGCAGGGTCCCAGGGCCTGGTGAGGATCTGGGTCTACACCAAGGTATCCCTTCCCCCATTGCCAGCCCTCAGAGCCAGCGGCTCCCCCGCCACCACCCCCATATCCCTCCACCCCCCCGCTCGAGTGCAAGCCTCGTCTCCCCGCGGGCCGGGGGCGGGGGCGGGGCCGGGGGAATCCCAGCTCCATATTAGGACAGGAATCCTCCGGCGGCTGCTGCGGCGGCGGCAGCGGCGGGCGGGGCCTGGCTTGCCTCCGCCACGCTCCGGAGGGCTCCCCCCTGCCTCCAGCGGGGAGGATGGGGACGCAGCAGAGAAGCGAGGGGGCCGTGCTGGACCCTCTGCACGATCCAGGCACCTACCAGAGACCCCTTAACTCCGTCGGGCTGTCCACACTCCCCTCCAACCCCCTCCCCGTCATCGGCGGTAGGATTCCTCGCTGTCTCTCCATCTTCAACTCTCCACATACCCCCCACCGCCCCGCACCAGCTAGTTTCTTTATCTCATTGCCGGCTTGGTGGTCTATCTCAACTTTGTGCGCCCTCTGCGCCCCCCCCCCAACGTCCCCCTTCTGCTCTCTGTCGTCTCTCTTCTTTGTCAATTTTGTCTCCACATCATATCACTTTGCCCTATCATTTCCCTCTTTCTTCTTGCTCTTTTCTGCACGGATGGTCACTCTCTACTGGGGTTGAAGGGTGCCTTTGCTTCCCCCAAACAAAGGGAAAAGAAATGGGCTAGGGGACATTTTATCTGAAATCGAATTCTGTGGGGTAAGGGTGTGTGTGAAGTCACGTGAGGGGCTGGGGATGGGACCACTTAAAATTTGGGGGAAAGGGATTGGCCTGATTGTAGAAAGCCACGTAGGAGGGGTGGAGATAAACTTTGACACCAAGAAGCAAAATTTGGGGTCTTCACTCCTCGTGGAAAAGGGTGGAAGCAAGAGAGGTAGAGTGGGAGGAGGAGAGACAGCTGAGAAGAAGGCTGTCTAAGAAGGGGGTCTCTGAGGGCCCAATCCTGACCTCTTGTGTATTTTGGGAGAGGTTGGGTCCATCCACATCAACCTTCCCGTATTCAGTGGCACAGCTGAGATGGAGGGAAGGGGTATGTCTGTCTGCCACTATCTCTAACCCTATTTACCTGGGTGACAGAAAAATGGTTCCTTCACAAAGCGTATCTCTGTTCCACTTTCATCTCTGTCTGACCCCCGACGTACTCACCCACCCCTCGCTCAAGCTTCTGTTTGGACAAGCCCTTAATCTTTGGACCCCTTTCCTGTAGGAAAATCCAGGGCAGTGTTCCTGTTTTATTCACTTATTGGTTCTTTATCCCTGACTGAGAGGCATTCTTAGTGTTCCTCTCCATGACCAGAGGTGCCTGTTGGTTTGGTCCAGCAAGCTGAGCAGAGCCGCGGTGAAAGAATGGGGCACTCGCCGCTGTCCGTGGTCCTGAACTATCCCAAGGAATGTCATATGGAACGTGGGACGTTAAAGTAGAGCTTGAATCCATACAGGTCTCACAGTGAGGCCCCAGCTGGCTGTGCCCTTGTCCTCTGAGAATGAATAAGGGGGTGGATTGTAGGGGGGCAGGATATCTGAACTCTAGGAGTGAAGTAAATGCGGAGGGGGGGGGGGAACTGGGCTCAAGGGAAGAGCCCTTGGATTTTTCCAGAATGGACTGGGGGGGAAGGCACTCTGGAAGAGAAGAAGGGTCTAGAAAGGGACAAGGGAGGGGGTACAGAAGAGCTCATCCTAGCTCGCCCACTCTGATTCAAGTTGAGAAGCGCTGTATGCCCCAATGTCTTCTCTCCCCAGGCCAACTCCCACACCCCTTGCATCCCACCTCCTTAAAGCTATTTTTAACTGTGGAGAACCAAAAATAGCTTGGCAGCAGCTTCAGTATGTGGGAGAGGAGCTATTTATATCACCAGTGATGGTTCCAAAATAGCAAGCAGGAGGAGGGGGGCGGCTGGCACGCTAGAGAGCTCCTGGCCGCTGCTAAAAATACTGGCAGTGTGAGTCATCCTGGCCTGGCTGAGTCACCCCACACACACCTCCCTCCCCCTCCCAAGCAGCAGGCGGCAGCAGCAGAACAGGCTAAGAATTGGAAGTCTGAGATGAGGGAGGTATTAGAGCCCATTGACTATAAGAAAGTGGGCAAGGGAATGAATTCAGAGGGGGGCCTTGGGGTGAGTTTGTAGAAGAAATGGGGGGAGCAGAAGCCACCCACCCAAACTCTCTGTGTGAGCCTGCAGCATTTCCAGCTATGCACTGCTTCTTGGGGATGCTTGGGCAATTGAAGGGAGGGGGCCAGACTCTGAGAATGTGCATGTGTGTCTGTCTGTCCATCTGACCATGACTGTATTTGTAGGCCTCTGTATGTCTGTTCGCATGTGTCTTCATAGCTGTGTGTCTGTATCCCTTTATATCTATGCATTTCCTTATGCCTGCGTCTATGCCTGTCTTTATTAAGAATGTCTATGATTTCCTGTGTTGTGTGTAGTTCTATGTTTGTGCTGGTATGTATTTATATGTTTGCAGCTTTCTGTGTGCCTCCCTGTACATGTGTGTGTTTGTGTCCACGTCTGAGTTGGCTCTGTGCCTTTCTCTCCCAGCACCTGATGGTGTGTGCGGATTTGCTTGCATCCCTAGCCTCAATGCACCTTCTGTTGCTCTCTCAGATGTCACTTGTTGGGCTCTTGCACCATTTATGCCTTAATCATCTCTCTCCACCCAACATCTTCCCTTCTCTCCAGGCTTTGGACCCCAACGATTTGTGAAGGTCTCTCTGCATGCAATCTCTAGCTAAAAGATGGAGGAAAGGAGCCCCGTATGACCTCTTCCTTTTCTCTTGAACCATCCTGAATTGTCCCTGGCCTGCAGGAGTAAATGGTTTTCCATCACTCCATATTTGGGGAGCTGAGGAAAGAGAAGGGCTTTCTTTAGTTCTAAAAAAAAAAAAAAAAAAAATTCCTGGTGTGGGCACAAGCATGCGCAGCGCACACACACACACGCACACACATACACAACTGAAAGAGAGAATGAGAGAGAGAAAAAATATCAAGGTCCCTTCTTTACCGAGACAAGCTCGCATCTGTTGCCATGGCAACCCCGCCCACTCCTTCCCCGAAAAATCACCAAGAAGAGGTGATGGCATCGAGGAGGGATTGGCTGATTTATTTCTTTATTATTTTTTCCGAAAAAGGGATTTTTATAACAAGAACAGGCCGTGAGATCCCTTGCCCCTGTCTTACATGGCTTTACTGGGGACCTGGAGGGACATCACCCCTCAGCCTCTATCAGAGAAGAGAAGGTATATCTTTTCCAGAGATTTCAGGGAGGATGACCTGCTGGGAGGGAGCTGGAGGGTGAATGGGGAGTCTGTTTCTTTAAAACAGCATGGAGATTCCTGATTAAGGTTAATTTTCTGGAGGCTTGGGGCAAGGATCTAGACAGAGAGCTGTCAAAGTGTATCCTGTATGGCTCTGGACAAATGTGTCTATGAGAAGGATAAAGAGGGAGGGAGGGAGGGAGAGAGAGAGAGAGAGAGAAAGAGAGAGAGAGGGAAAATATGAATGAATGAATGAATGAATCACTTGATGGGTCTTTGGAACAGATGACAAGATGCCAAAGGATGCAAAATCTCAGTGGTTGTCAGGTCAGACAGACAGACAAGATGGCTCAAGACAGGTCCATTAAGGCAATTGGTGGCGCTGCAAGTCACCACCAGACCACAGGTGCAGCTGCTTGACTTGGACCCCAGGGAAATTGGGGTCATAGGTGAACAATCTAGAAGAGCATTGAAGCTTACCTTTCCAAACTCTAGTCCCAGCCTGAGTCTCAAATGCCTCCTCTGAAGCCTGGCCACCAGCCACTGCAGCCACATCACTTTCTCAAGTGAACTGTAGCCTCCTGCCAAATGATTGCATGGTGGAAACGAAGGGATTCCTCATTTCTTCCTGTGTTTGGCTTGCTGCATAAATGGGGTCACTTGGGGCTGAAGACTGGAAAGCCAGACCAAGAATCTGATTCTAGAGAGAAACACCTCCTCCCTTCCAGCAGGCTCCTGCCCAACCTCAGCAGGCAAGGGCATGGCCTGAGGAGGGGGTTAGCTCTACCTGAAGTGATGGAACAGAGGGATGAAAAGACTTCAGATCTGTTCTGACCTGTTAGACCTATTCTCATGCCAAATCAGGT